TATAGCCCTTTCCTAAGTTAATCTGCTGGTTAACTAATGTCTGCAGGTCTTCCATTGCTCCAAACATAAAAAGTTGAATAGTTCTGGTCAATGAATGTGACAAAAGCAACTCATTAAGGTAGTGTCTCTCAAAGTATACTCCTTAAGACACTAGTTATCATAGATTTTCACATTTTAAAAATAGTCCCTCAAATAATTTTGGGAAATGCTAGTTTAATCAAAGTTAAACAGATTTCTTTGCCACAATACTTCTTAGAGCCTTAATGATATTCATGTAAGAGAATGCTATATGCAATACAGGGATTTCCAAACTTATTTGATCACAGAACCCATCTTTTAAAATGAATCCCAAAGGATGAGTGTTCTGTAGAACATGCTTTGAGAAGCACTGCATTAGGGAGACATTATTCTCTAGGCTTGATAACCAATAGCTGAAACTATAGCACCTCAAAAGTCAGATAATATGAAAGAAAAATAAATAAAAGGCCAAATCTGGTGTGAAGCCTCGAGGTCTCCTATTACTTACAGCTAACATTGCTATTTCTTTATCTCATAAAAGTGCCTTTTATGGGAAAAGTTTGATTCATGCTACCTAATATAAAATTATACTACAAGACCATAGTAATCAAAACAGCATGGTACTGACCTAGCCAGTTTGGCCCAGTGGATAGAGTGTCAGCCTGCAGACTGAAGGGTCCCGGGTTCGATTCTGGTCAGGGGCACATTTCCAAGTTGTGAACTCAGTCCCTGGTGGGGGGCATGCAGGAGGCAGCCGATCAGTGATTCTCTCTCATCATTGATGTTTCTCCCTCTCTCTACCTCTACCTTCCTCTCTGAAATCAATAAAAATATATTAAAAAAAACAAACAGTATGGTACTGGCATAAAAACAGACATATATATCAATGGGATAGAATAGAGAGCCCAGAAATAAACCCATGACTTCATGGTCAATTAATATTTGACCAAGGAGGCAAAAACATACAATGGGCTAAAGACAGTCTATTCAATAAATCGTATTAGGAAAAATGGACAGATACTTAAACCACCCCCCACCCCCCGCAAAAACTAGACTACCTTCTTATAGCACACATAAGAATAAACTCAAAATGGATTAAAGACTTAAATGTTAAATTAGAAACCATAAATATCCTAGAAGAAAACATTGGCAAGAAAATCTCGGACATTTCTCGTAGAAATTTTTTCTGATATATTGCCTTGGGCAAGGGAAACAAAAGAAGAAAAAAACAAGTTGGAGTACATCAAACTAAAAAGTTTTTACACAAAGAAAATTATCACCCAGCTGATGTGGCTCAGGGGTTAAGCATCTACTCATGAACCTGGAGGTAGTGTTTTCTTTTCCCTTCCGCTGATATGGAATACAGTATCTATGAAGATGATTATGTCCTAAGAATAACAGAAAAATGAGAAGGACGGTACCTGAATGACGGCCTGGAAGAGAGGCGCTCCAACTTGGATCACTTACCTTAAAACCGCTTGTTACATAAGTCAAATAAACCTCTATCTTTAATGACAGAACTATAATTTTGACTCCCTTAATACAGCAATTTAGCATTTATCCTCACTAAGACATAGTGTTAATAATAATAATTTAACATATACATGTTATATTACAACTTACAATATGCTCACATATACATTATTTTTCTAAGTGAGCGATTTTCAACTTTTTAACTTCATGGCACACATAAACTAATTACTAAAATTCTGCAGCACATAGAAAAATATATTTTTTGCCAATCTGATCCCCCAAAAAAGGTATAATTTTGATTCATTCACACCAGACAGCTATTGTTGTATTGGCTGTTGCCATTTTTTATTTGATGATTTAAGAGAAAAGAGGTCAGTGCCCTTGACTAAATCATCAGGTATTATATGTTTTAAAAATTCTTTTAGCACACCGGTTGAAAATCTCTGTTCTAAACCTTCCTCATTTTTATTCTGTTCCCTTTTAGTTTTTGGAAGTAGTTATTGTCTGCAAGCATGTTAATCTAAACATTGAAAACAAAGGCTTTATTTGTCTTTCCTTCCTATATAATAAAAGGCTAATATGCAAATTGACTGAACGGCAAAATGACCAGTTGCTATGATGTGCACTGACTACCAGGGGGCAGATGCTCGACGCAGAAGCTGCCCCCAAGTGGTCAGTGCGCTCAGCCAGAAGCTGAGCTCATGACTGGTGAGTGTAGCAGCAGTGGCAGGAGCCTCTCCTGCTTCCACAGCAGCGTTAAGGATGTACGATTGACAGGGAGCGGGCCTAAACCATCAGTTGGACATCCCCCAAGCACTCCTGGACTGCAAGAGCAGTGATGGCAAACCTTTTGAGCTCAGCATGTCAGCATTTTGAAAAACCCTAACTTAACTCTGGTGCCGTGTCACATATAGAAATTTTTTGATATTTGCAACCATAGTAAAACAAAGACTTATATTTTTTATGTTTATTTTATATATTTAAATGTCATTTAACAAAGAAAAATCAACCAAAAAAATGAGTTCGCGTGTCACCTATGACATGCATGTCATAGGTTTGCCATCACTGTGCAAGAGGGAGCAGGCTGGGCTGAGGAGACCCTCCCCCCCCGAATGCACGAATTTTGTGCACTGAGCCTCTAGTTATTTCATAATTAAGCTGGGAGGGGAAAAAGAAAACTAAGCTAATCACAGTTATAATTATTGGCTCACTGTTATTTTGTCTGTTTTCAAGCTACATACCAAGCTGCCTAAAGGAGGTTCCTTTTTGTTAGTTTATATTTAAACTAACAAAAACCTCCAAATATAAAATTCCCAAAATCCTAATAGTATGATTACAACTGACAGAATTGTATCTTCATGAACTATAGTATCTTTCTATGGAATAAGTGTTAAAGGATATTTATTATTCAAAATAAGTATCTGTATTTTCATGATGATACAGAGTGATTTAACAGTAATTGTTTGAAGTGCAATTTTATGGTGAAACATCCTGCTAAATGAGAGAAAATCAAGTATTTGAAGGTAACTACTGAAGTATGTATGTATTTATAAATACATCTTATTAAAGAGCCAGACAAAATAAAGTATGACTCATTTTTGGTAAACATTTCCTAAATTTTCTTATATTATTATGGGAGTTACCTTCTGGTTTTAATAATGTATATAAGATGAATTACTATTTACTTTCTTCTTAAAGAGAATGATCTATTTAACAGAAAGGTCTTTAAGATCTAATGAATTATCCTGTACTCTCTTGTCAGTAAGTTCAGGAACCACTGTTAAGGAAACAATTAGACATAATAAAATTTTACCACCCATGTTTCTTGTAGTTGCAATTCATAGTAGATGGTAGAAGTTTAAAGCATTCAAAACATGTTTTTATTATATCCACTTTAGTGGGGTGAAGCAAGAGCTATTAGCAAATGCTAAAGGAATTTGTGATCTATCTTAGAATGGTAAAACTACAAGGAACCTTAGAGCTCCTTCATTTCACAGAGGAGGAATCAGAAGTTTGAAAATTATTTTAATTAAAGGAAGCTTCCTGAAGTGGAAAAAAAATTCTTCATGAAATTCTAGGTATTGTATAATTCAAATCAAAATCCTTTCACATCGTTCTGGAGGGCTGCCCTAACCATCTTTCCACTTCATACATAGGAAAACTAAGGTATAAGCAAGCTAAGCAGTTCACTTATTATCTCTATGAATCAGAGTCATAGCTGGGAATGGAAGCCAAAACTTTAAATGCTGGAACAACCTCACAAAAGTAGGATGAGCTCATAGGGAATGGATGCTGGCTGTGGGTGAGGGGAAACCATGTTTGGGAACTCCTCGCATGGAGTACTCTGTTTCACAAGCCCCGTACTTGCTGAAGACTGCAAAATGCTTGCTTATTGATTTGAAATCGTTAAAAACCTCCAAGGACTACAGCATCTCAGATTCCCTACCTCCCTCTAAAAAAAGTGTCCTTGAATCCTAGGAAACTTAAAACGTGCTTTGTATTTGATGCAGTCTTACATGTCCAGCAAGTGCAAACAATCTACTTTAGTTTTTATTCACATAACGGAAGTAGCCGTTGTGAAATCCTTCTTTCGGCGTTTCAAGCGAACATTTAGAGTAAGACTACTCATTGGAATCCCACCTGTTTAGAAATATATAAAATTCACCTTGGGACGTTATAAATACCAGTACAATAAAGTTCCCGACAGATCTCAGTACGCACACCTTTTCCCCACCAAAGCACCAATGATGATAAACTTGCAAAGAGAACTCAACCCTTTAAAAAATAACAAAACAAAGCAAAAAACCCGGAGCGGTGCCCGTGTCCGGGATGTCACATCTAGTGGTTGTATCAGACGCATTCCCACGGGTCGTGGCCGCTATTTCTGATGACCCCATTCGGGGCTGCGAGATGCTCAAGCCATTACCGCATCCCTTTCCCCCAGCGATGCTCGGGGAGCTCACGCGGGAGCAACCGCGGGGGGCACTGCTGCTGTGCAGCCCACGGGACCGATCGCGAATCCGGGAGCCCTACCTGGCAGCTCCCCCCCCCCCCCCCCCCCCCCGCCCCGGGCCGCGCAGAGGGGACGCGGCTCGGTTAGCGGAGGAAAAGCGGGGCTCCGCGGAGGGGGGCGGCCGGGCGTGTGCAGCAAGGGACGCGGAGTTTGGGGAGAAGGCAGAAGGGGAACCGAAGAGTTGGGGATCGAAATACCAGCAGGAGTCGAGCGGGTTGGGGAAGAGGGGGGTTCGGTGAGGGTGACCCCGGTTCGGGCGAGTGAATGAATGACTTGGAAGGGGCGCAGGAAACGGGTGCCAAAGAAAGGAGAGATCGCGGAGGAGGAAGTCGTCCCTGGAAGGGGAGGAGCGAGGGGGAAGCGAGAGTGGAGTGTCTGCACTTTCGAGGGGAAGCGCCAGAGAGCCTCCCCGGACCCGGGCTCCGGCGCCGACGCGGGGGGAAGGGCGGCGGGCGGCGGAGGGCCCGGGGTCCGGGGTCCGGCGCCGACGGCCTACCTGAAGCGCTCCTGCCCCGCCGTGTCCCAGAGCTGCAGCTTGATCCGCTTGCCCGGCTCGATCTCCAGCAGGCGGGAGAAGAAGTCCACGCCGACGGTGGGGTCGCAGGCGGGGGAGCGCAGCCCCGGGAAGCGGCCCTGGGTGAAGCGGTGCAGGAGGCACGACTTGCCCACCGTGGAGTCCCCAATCACGATGAGGCGGAACTGGTAGATCCAAATGGTCTCCATCGCGGCCGGCCCCGCGCGCTCCGGGGCCGCCCCACCCTCCCCACGGCCGCCCGGCAAGTTCGGCGGCGGGAACTGTCCCTTCAGCACCTCCGGGTGCCCGCCCGCTGGCTTCCAGCACATTCCTGCGGCCGCGGCCGTCGCCTGGACCCCGCCCTCTCCGGAGGGGGAGGCGGGGCGGCCGGGCCGGGGCCGGGGCCAGGGGCGGGGGCAGGGCGGGGCGGGACCGCGCCGGGGCGGGGCACGAACGGGCCGGGCGGGCTCCCGCCCCGATTTGGGGAAATCACTCTCCCGCAGCGCTCACTGGACGCCGATAGGAAACTGGGTGTGGTGAAGGGACGTGACAGAAGCTACAGCCAATGGGGATGGAGCAAGGTGTTAATTCCAGCCAATGAAAAGTGAGGATCATTGTCTTCCACGCGTCAGGGCGGGCTTGGCAGAGTCCCGCAGTGATTTTTGAAGTCAGGAGGCCGGAACCTGGGTCGCCGCCGTTGCTGCTTCTTTAATAGGTTCGGCCAGGCCTGCGGCCTCCGTTGCTGCCCGGGTTTCTGAAGGTTCTGGGTGCGGCTTCCTGCTCCCTAGTCCTGCCGAGCGTCCCTCCGAGGCGTCCTGAGGGGAAGGAGTTGGAGAGCGCGATCCAAGTAAATCTTCAGAGCAAGTTCTGGATGCATCCAGAAGGGCCTTGCCCGTCGCTCCTGCTGCCGGCATCTTTTCCTCACCGCGTTCCGTGCCCCAGGAGAGTGAGAAAAGTGGCAGGAATCATCTCCATATGCACTGGGGCCCTCCAACCCGGCAAAGGAGAGGCGGAAGAAAAGTGAAACATGGCCCTCTGGTTTGGCTCAGTGGATAGAGCATCCGCCTGCGGACTGAAGGGTCCCAGGTTCGATTCCGGTCAAGGGCATGTACCTTGGTTGCGGGCACATCCCCAGTAGCGGGTGTGCAGGAGGCAGCTGATCGATGTTTCTCTCTCATGGATGTTTCTAACTCTCTATCCCTCTCCCTTCCTCTCTGCAAAAAATCAATCTACATATATAAAAGCCTAAGTGACTGGCTGGTAGCTATGATGTGCACTGACCACCAGGGGGCAGACGCTCAACACAGGAGAAGAAACCACAAGCATGGAAACAAGGAACAGACTGATGAATCTCAGAGGGAAGGGAGGAAGGGGGAAAGAGATTAACCAAAGATCCTATATGCGCATTAGAGGCCTGGTGCATGGATTTGTGCACCAGTGGGGTCCCTCGGCGGGGATTGGGCAGAAACTGGCTCTCCAACATCCCCCGAGGGGGTCCCGGATTGTGAGAGGGTGCAGGCCAGGCCAAAGGACTCCACAAATGCACGAATCTGTGCCCGGGGCCTCTAGTAAAATATATTAAAAAAAGAAAAGTGAAACATGGAGTTACTCAAAAAAGACCCCATTCTTCTCCATCTCCCTCTGATTGTAAATCACAACAATCTTAAAGTGGTCTCAGCTTGTCTGGTCGGAGAGCTACATCAACAACGCACACTTACATTCTGGTGAGGTCTTACTGCTTTCTCATGCCTTTCTTAAGACGGGAAAATAGTGGATTCAAAGTTTATCTTTTAAAACAGTTTTAAAGTACTTTTTGCCAAAATAGAATTTTCAACAATTCCACATGTTTTGTTTTCATGCCCACATCTAAACGTGTACTATCGTTATTATCCTTTCTGTCTTGTTTTGGAGGAAGAGGATATGTTTAATCTTTTGCCACCTATGTGTTTGGACTTTTTTTCATAGATTTAAACCTCAAGTCTTCCCCTTTCCAATAGTTTCTACTCCTTAGCCTATAAACATGCTCAAGTATCCACAATCCTAAAGCCAAGCAAAATATATCTCCATTATGCCTCTCAATTTTTTTTATAAATATATTTCTTTATTGATTTCAGAGAGAGAGGGAGAGAGAGAGATTGAAACATCAATGATGAGAGAATCATGGATCGGCTGCCTCCCGTACACTCCCCACTTGGATGGAGCCTGCAACCCTGGCATGTGCCCTGACCGGGAATCGAACCGTGACCTCCTGGTTCATAGGGTGACACAACCCGTTGAGCCACGCCAGCTAGGCAATTATGCCTCTCCTTTAGATTTTTGCCTCCTACATTATTCTTTTTCAAACATTAGGAAAGAGCCATTCTCATTTCTCAGCCACCAGTTTGTCTTCAGCAACTCTATGTCTGATACACCCTGAAATTGCTTTTGATAAGGATGTTAGTAGCTTTGCAACATGCTACATGGCCCCGTTGTGTCCTCCCACCCACCAATCTCTCTAGTTATTCTTCTTCTTGACCTCCTGGTAACTCTTGTTGATTACATTCTGTTGCAAAAAGCTAAGTGGCTGGCCCTGACTAGTTTGGCTCAGTGGATAGAGCGTCAGCCTGCAGACTGAAAGGTCCCAGGTTCGATTCCAGTCAAGGGCATGTACCTTGGTTGCAGGCACATCCCCAGTGGGAGGTTTGCAGGAGTCAGCTGATTGATGTTTCTCTCTCATTGATGTTTCTGACTCTATCTCTCTCCCTCCCTCTCAGTAAGAAATCAATAAAATATATTAAAAAAAAAAAAAAAAGCTAAATGGTTGACTCAACTCTCTACCAGTTCTTGTAGTCCTCCAGTTAGGGATGGCCAACTGGAAGAGTTGGACCAATGAGACATTAGTAGGGCTGCTGGCAACATTTTTTTTGCTTTTCTGATAAGAGACTGGCACCCTTACTACCCTTCACCCTTTCTCTTTTCCTTTTCCTTCTACCTGGAAAGGGTAACAACCACCTTCTGACCGTAAAGATGAGAGCTAGATGCTAAAGATGGTGGTAGGAGAGCGGGGAAGAGCTTAAGTCCCTCATGGACTTGCTGATCTTTTGTACCAGCCCTGGACATCTTGCTGTTTGTGACAAATAATTCAGTACCTGTTGAAACTACTGGTGGTTGGGTTTCCTATAAGTACAACCTGAAAACTCTTATTTCTTGGCTTCTATAAAAACCTCTCCTAACATGGAACAGAGTGCAGAATCTCAAAGGGAGGGTGGGGGAGGGTTAGTGGGTGGGAGGTGATCAACCAAAGACCTTGTATGCATATATGCATAACCCATGGACACAGACAATAGGGTGCTGAAGGCCTGGGGGAGAGGGGCGCAGGATGGGCTGAAGGGGGTCAATGGGGGAAAAAGGGGACATATGTATACTTTCAACAATAAAGAATTATTAAAAAATAAAAACCTTCTCTCCTAGTTTCTTGTTCTTTTTAAACTTCTTCACTGACTTCTCTTTCTGTGACCCATTTCTTATACTACATATATTGAAGTTCCTAAGAGATCTGTATTTCCTCTCTTTATCCTCTTCCCTTTTGCCCCATTCACTTTGAGCTGTTTATGGCGACTTCATCTGCTTAAGTGACTTTGGTTACCCCCTTACCCAAACCATAGGATCTTCTGCCAACCTTAGCTCTGCCTTCAGACCCACATTTCCAACTATCTCTCCTCTTAGGTGTTGGATACACATTTTAGACTCCACGCATTTGTATTGGTTAGGTTTCTTTGAAACAAACTCCATTTAGGGGGATGTAAAAAGCTGAGTGAACTTATAAGGACACAGTGAAAGTTTTGCAGAATCCACAGGAAGGAGTGCAGCTGGTATTGGAAAGGGATTAGACCCAGAAAAGGGAAAGCTGTAAGGAACCCAATGAGCATATCTCTCTGTCTCTCTCATATTTACTTCCTTGGAACATGTGCTCAATTCTTATTTCTCTGTGAACCAGTGTCCTCTGTTGTTTAGTCTATATAAAAGACTGAAGTTGCTGTAGTTTTCCTGTTAGATATCTAGATACATCTGGAGACTGATTTCCATTTCTCTGTAGAGACAATCTAGTTGATCCAGTTTGGAACAGGTGTTCATACCAAAGAGAGATGGCCAGTGGGATAGGAACAAATAGCAGGCCAATCCCTTTGGATGAGGTAGATGGGTTATTAGCAGTCTTGGAGAAAAGGTAGGTCAATGCCTTCCCTTTGTGTCTAAAATATCTACACTAATAAAAGAGAAATATGTAAATTGGTCATCACTCCGCTATACCCACCAGCCAATCAGGATGAGTATGCAAATTAACCAAAAAAAAGATGGTGGGTTAATTTGCATATGCAGGTGCGGAGCGAAAACTGAAGAGGCTTGGCTTCTCCTCTGTGGCTGGAGCAGAGAAGCCTAGCCTCGCTGCGGCGGCAGCAGAGAAGCCTAGCCTTGAGCTTGGCTTCTCCACTGCGGCCGGACCAAAGGCCTGGGTCCCAGGTACCGGAGGAAAACCGGTGCTGGCAGCCAGGGGAAGGAAGGCCTATTGCACAAATCTTCATGCAACGGGCCTCTAGTATTCTCTATAATGTCCCAAAAGTGGACTCAGTAGCTTTCTTGCCATGTTTTCTTTTCCTATATATTTACAGGTTGGTTAATGGCTTTAGTATCTATTGTAGCTCCCTAGACAAGTGATTGCTTGTGGTGTTGAATTTGGAGGCTGGGGGCGTTTGTGGTGTGTATCCATCTTGGACTCCACCCTCTCTTTGTGCATATTCAGCCAATCATTAAATCCTGTTGCTTTTACCTCATCAATATCTTTCATATTTAGAATGCTCCTGAATGCCCACTATCACTGTCTTTGTTCAGTTTCATTACTTTAGACCATACTATTACTTTGGTACAGTACCAGACACAGCCTTGGTCTGTGTGGTTCAGTTGGTTGGCACACCATCCTATACACCAAAATGTGGCAGGTTCGATTCCTGGTCAGGGTGCATACCCAGGTGCAGGTCCGATCCCTGGTAAGGGCACATATGGGAGACAGTCAATTGATGTTTCTCTCTTGCATAGATGTTTCTCTCTCTCTCTCTCCCTCTCTCCCCCTTCCTCTCTCTCAAATCAATTTTTTAAAAAGTGCCAGTGGCTTAAAATACAGTTAGCCTTTTTGTCTATATGGGTTTCATAACCACAGATTCAACCCACCTTGGATCGAAATTATTCAGATTTTAAAAAGTTACCTTATGGCTGGTATGTACCATGTAGTTAGACCTAGGATGGTTGCATCTGTACTGAACATGCACAGACTTGATCTTCCTTGTCATTGTTCCCTAAATGCTACAGTATAACA